CAATTAGGGCCCATTTGAGAGTTCTATGTTCAAGATAGTTAAATTGGAAGCTTATTGGTCCATTAGGCCAAATAAGGAAATCCTAGTCCATAATGGACTTTAACCGGGATTTATAGGGTTCCAATTCTTTGTTGGCTATTTGCAGTGCTTGTATAAAGTGTTTGATTGAAGTTTTGTTGTTATTGAATAAGCATCATGCACGCTTTCACATTGTTGGTTTGCAGTTGGTATAATTGTTGTTGTTACAAAGCATCAAAATTCCTAGTTATGACAAATTCAATTATTCATACCCATTAACAATCCAACCTAAACCTAGTTTTATTTTAAAAAAAATATAATAAAAATAAATTGGAACTATATCAATATTATACTCTATTTATAGAGAACAAAAAATCATGAATTTTAGTATTTTCTTTATATTTGTTTTATTGAGATAAAATTGGTTTTTTAATGATAATAGTTTTTTATCAAAAAGTAATATATATCTATCCTTTAATAATATGCACGTGTCATCAAAATAAGTTAGCAACCCTTTGTGAACTTGGATCGTGTGTGTGGCCTAGGCCGCAAGTATTTATGTAATTTTCATTTTTTTTAATAAAAAGTGGACGAGTGGCTCGTCCAAAATTACCAATGGGGGTAGTCTAAGGCTATAAAATCCTAATTATGTACAACTAGGTAGTATATGCAAAACAATCAGCAATCTTAGTTTCCACCCTATCAAGGCATCTACAAGAATTCTCATAGGATATAAGGCATCATACAAATCAAGAAACTCTATCCTGGAATTCATGAGGGATCCTTAGCCTACCAGCTAGCATGCGTTTCTATCAGTTCGATAACAACAACTATAATAGATTAATACAACATATAACACAATTATGGATATTTTGGGAGATCACTGCTTCGAGCTCTGGTTGACTGTACACCCTTTTTCCTTTACTTCATTAATTGAAATTCGTTCTTTTTTGTAAAAAAGTTTTCATAAAACTCCTAGTTCCTTAGTTTAAGTCTGGAATCCCATGAATTTTCATCCAAATCTCTCAAACCAAGGCTCTAATACCAACTTGTAACAACCTTAAATTCATAACAAAGTTTTGATTTTTATTTTACCAAAAACCTCCAAGTATGAAAAAAACCAAAACAAGAAATCCTAGGTGTATCAATACAATCATCCCAAATCAGAGTATCAAAATGTGAAAATCATAAAAGATCTGGGAGCCAGAGTGTACAGTCATGCCTTCGCCTTTTCAAGATCATCTGAGGTACCTGAAACACATTTAATCCATAATTGTAAGCATAAAGCTTAGTGATTCCTTCCAAAATATACATACAACACAACAATAATAAACAACTATGGGTTATCAGCATCCCTGGGGATTATCAGTGATCCCAGTGGGCTAACAGCACGCCATGTGGATTAATATCACGTTCAAGGGTTATCAACAACCCTGAGGATTCTCAGCAATCCCAAAGTTATCAACAATTCAATTCAGATAAGACAACAATCAGAAATAGAGACCTATCTTGTCAAAACATAAATACCACACAAATAAAAGTAGTGAGAAAACTCACCTTGAAAATAACAGCTAGGAATATGACAGCTCTCACACATAGAGTATACATGATCAATGAGACACCTAATAGCAGTAAAGTCATACCCTATCAGCATACCTCCTAGAACTCCAGTTGATCTAAAAGTCAAACATAGTCAAAAGTTAATGGTCAAGGTCAACTTTGCAAGCCCCCACGTCGTGGCTCCATATGGCCATGTCGTGGCCACTCCAAGACAAAACAGTCGGAAACTGATTAACTCCAACGTCGTGACCACTATGGACCACGTCGTAGCCATCGTCCATCCTAGTGGTCGTGAAAACACCAGTCACCATGTCGTGGCACTAGGTAGCCATGTCGTGAGCATTGATCAGCAAAGACTTAATGGATTAAGTTGCTTTGCCACAATCCTAATAGCTCAAACTTCTGAATCTGAAACTCCTCAATGGGTAAAGTTTTCAACTTTAGCCATTAAGACATCTTATTTTGACAATATCTCAACTTCTAAGATCCTAATGAGAGCACCAAGCCATAGGTATACTAAAAAAGCCATGAAAACCAACTTTCCAACCAACCCCAAGGTCCAAAAGTTAACCATTGCACTAAAAGGTTATGGAGTTCACTACAATTCCATAAGCAAGAGGATTTGGGACAAAAACTCATGAAATTGACCTAGAACTAGATCTAGAGAATCAATAGTCAAAGTAAATACTTTATACCTTCAATGATGCAAAAAAAAGAGGTGTAGATGATGGATCTAAGTTGGAACCACTCTTTCAAGCAACACCCAAAAGCTTCTTCTTCCTTCAACCTTCACAAAGATGGGTTTCAAGCACTCAAAACACAAAAGGGGCTAGAGTTTTGGATGAAATTCGATCTCAAAGGGGTGGAGGCTTCCAAATGAGGCAACCTAGGAGTTAGTGTCCTTAAATAGGACACCAACCCCGAGATTATGGTTTTAGGCCCAAAATAGTTGCCATGATGTGGCCATGCGCAAATGCACGTCCTTCATTAACTGAGCGCCACACCATGGCCAGACCAATTAAAATAAAATTTAAGACTTGAAAATCAATACCTGGAACACATATGTTACATATATTTAACCATCAAACTTGTTAAATGTGTTTTTATGTTACCATTATCACTTAAGATTAGATATATATATAACTTTTTTTTGCCTAAATATGAAGAAAAACAAAAAAAAAATCCTTTTTAAAATCAATCTTAAATAATATAATCGGTTTTTGTTAGCTGTGGCCCATGGATTGATTTTAGTCATTCTTTGGCCCATGGAATGATTTTATTCATGTTTAGGAACCCATCATTTATTTGTCTATTCTTTTGTATATGTCGATTTAACTTAGCTAATCACGTTGGAGATCATTTTTGTGAGCCTATTCGACAAAAGCTTTGCAACTATTTGGTATCGACACCCAATTAAAGTATGACTTTCCAACCGACACTATAAATAGGATCATTGCATTGAGAGGTCGTGTGCTTTTGATTACCAAGCTCGAGCTTCAAATTTTCGGATGATATTCAAATAATGCTTGATAATATATTTCCTGATGATATTCCAATAATGCTTTAATAAAATGAACGAAAATCAGTTAGACATAGAGATTTATCACCACTACAACTTCCCAGCGTAAACAACTAACAAAGGATATAAATTATTTACATAAATATAAAAAACCAAGATTAGTAAGGAAAGAAATATATTTACGTTTTATATAGCCACAAATAATATCTAAAAATGAAAATCAAAACAAGAAATTGAGGACACAATAACTTAAAAATTCAAATAGATAAACATATTTATCATCAAAGGCGTTATCAACACTGAAAATATCTAAATGTCTAAGGTTCATCAATATAAAGACAATCTATGTTGTTCGGACCTCAAAAGCATGTTGTTCTTTTTACCATAGTTGAAGTTTCCTATACAACTTTTACTCATAACTTACACTGAAGGATAAACACTTTGGTAACTTAAACCCATAAAGAAGTCAATATGACCACCTACACAACATTGCTTGTTGAGTCGTTGTTTGGTGTTGGACTTGCGCTTGATGGTTCCACCCTTCTCATCATGAAACCTGGTGGTGGATGAGAACTTCCATCTTCGTCATGATAAACGTATGCAAATCCTCCATGCCTGGTCATGTCCATTCCTGCCATTTCATCTTCTTTTGACACTCTCAACAACTTGAGTTTCTTCAAGATAAAGAAAAGCGGACCCATGGTTGCAGTCACCCATCCTATGATCACTAGTATTAAGATGATTTGAGAAGCAAATAGCTTTCCACCACCACCCATGAGTAACCCGTAAGGTCGCCCAGTTGCATACACCTCATGGACATACTGTTTCTTGGCAAACAACCCTGTGAACAAAAGACCCCACGACCCACACCCACCATGCAACTGAGCTGCCTCTAATGGATCATCATACTTCAACTTTTCTGCAAGCTTGTTGAATCCTATGAGCACCCAAGCTGCAACAAAGCCACAAACGATTGCAGCCCATGGCTCAACCACTGCACATCCTGAGGTAATGGCTGCTAAACCTCCAAGCAACCCATTACAAACATCGGTCACATTCCAATGACCGACTAGTAATCTTTTACTGAACAAAGTGGTCAATCCAGCAGTACATCCCGCCAATGTGGTGGTGACAGCTGTTCTTCCTACAGCACTCCATTGACCATAAAACACATCCGAAGTACCATAGGATTTTGAGATTGTGAGAAATGAACCCGGATTAAAACCATACCAACCAAACCATAGAAGGAATGTACCCAAAACAACAAGTGAGCCACTGTGGCCTCGTAAGACCACTGATCTCCCAGAACGATCGAATCTCCCGATTCTTGGACCTTCAATGAGTGCACCCCAAAGACCAGCAATCCCGCCCACCATATGGACCACACCCGACCCGGCAAAGTCAATGGCTCCAGATCCAAACAGAAGGCTTCCACTTGTTCTTGAGGCACTCGCCCAACCATCACTAGACCACACCCAGTGTGATACTATGGGATACACGAAACCTGTAACCATTCAAATTCATCTGTTGTTAGCAGCTAGTCTAGGTAATAGTGGAGCTTTACTATGTTTTACGGCTTTGGAGATTTCATCTTTAATGTTTGGATATCATTGCTAAAAGACAAAATAAAATTTTAAAAACACAATATGAACGGTTATATATATTGACCAAAGTTTATGAAAGTTGTGCTGTTAGTTATTTTATGAATTTTATTTTTGAACTATATAGTAATATTAAATGTATTGTCTTTACTTTCAGATTACAGATAGGATAACCTTGAATCGGTCTATAACTACGTGCTAGAAACGTTTCCTTACATTGACCGTAGAGTATTAATTATAAAGCGAATCTAGTATAATAATTAAATATATATTTCGGATATTTTTATTTAAAAAAGCCTTATCAGGTACAGTTTTTGTACCATTTTTCAAACACAAAAAAGGAAGTATTTCGGTAATTAAATTTATAAAAAGTAGAAGAAAAGCAGATAAGGAAATTAAACCTGTTAAGAAGGAAGAGTAAATAAGGTATGCCACGAACTGAGTTCTCTCAGCGATGGAGCCACTGGTAATACCGGCGGCTGCTATAGCAAAAGCCCACTGATAAAGAAAGAAACTATAGTCGAAAACACTTGATGGAATCGATTTCAATCCGAAGTAGTGTTTCCCAATGAATCCATTGGAGGGTCCACCGAAGGCAAAAGCAAAGCCGAATATGTAGTAAGAGATGCCTCCGGCAGCAGCATCAAGAACGTTGGTGAGCATGATGTTCATGGTGTTTTTGGCCCGGACAGATCCTGCACAGAGCATGGCGAATCCGAGCTGCATGGCGAACACCAGGTATGCTGAAAAGAGGAGGTAGGTGTTGTCAATGGCGTATGTGGTGCTGTTGAATTTGTCGGATGTGGCGGTGAAACGTGTGCATATGTAGTCGGCTGCAGCTGTTGCATTGGCGGCAAGGCCGAGGAGAGGGGTTAGTTCTTCCGCGGAGCAGGTGGGGAAGGATGCCATGGTTGAGTGGTGTTTGTGACAACGAGAAAGGTTTGTGTTTTCTGGTTTTATAAAGCCGCACAGCAATTCTTGATCCTAAGTCATGAGGCTGAGAGATAAATGAAGTCAACGCTTCCACCCATTTGGGGATAATAATGTCCACACCAACGCGGCATTGCTTGAGGGCCACAAAAATTGAAAATTCAACGATGAAATGGTTAAATGTAATACATAGTAACGTCTTGTTATTAATTTGTTTATTTTTAAATTTAGTTTTATTTATTCATCTTATAATCCATTATTTTAAAAAATCATCCTATTTTAATATTCCACTAAACTATATTATATATGTAATAACTATTTTATTTAGACAAAAGGGTTTCTAACCTAACGGTATCAGGTGTTGTCCTCCCTTCTTAAGGTCAAGGGTTCGTACTCGTCCGGGAGAAATAGGTAGCATTAGGACTAGTTTAGTAGGAATACCTGTTCCAAAAAACGAAAAAAAAAAGTCGTCGATAAAAGCCATTGTCGTCGGTAAAATTTTCGTCAACAATGTCTGGAAAACCACAATCTACGTCAAACCTTTTTGTCAAACCCTGTCCGTTCGATCTGTCTACGATCCAAGAGATGGGATCGTCCGTCTCATTGGCGACTGTGTCACCGCTAATAGTCGAAAAATAACCCACAAATTTTCCCTCTTTTGCTGTCATCGTTGTTTCCTAATTGTCGTTGTTATTGCTATGTCATCGCCCGTAGCATAGCGACGTTGTCTTCCTTCTCATTTTGTTACACTTTTAGTTCTCTCGTTTTTCCTCCAATTTTCGGCTGATTCAGACAACAAAACCGGCGAAGGCTAGTACGATGAGGTTGTCTTCGGCGGCGACGAAGGCGCAATTCCAACGTCTGAGGTGCAATTCCTTCCTCATTTCTCGTTTTCTTTCTCTTTTAATGTCGATTTCTAGGTTATTGTTGAGTTAATAGCAAAAAAAAAAAAAAGAAATCCTTTCCTTTTTTTTGAAACAGCCAGCAATATATATTAAAAAATAAAACTCTAGCAAGGAGCTAGAGATTAATTTTATTTTCTTTAGTTGTTGGATGACTACCACTAGCACCACTGCACCACCTTGTTGATTTTCGGCCACCATTGTTGATTTCCGGCCACCACATGTTTCTTTCTCCTTTAATTTCGAGATTATTTGCAAAATTTGTGTATTTGTGTCTATTATGTGAAATTAGTGATATGTGTGTATATTTGGTATATATATGTGTATTTGTATGGTATATGTATGTGAATGTATGTATAATGTGTATTTGTATGTATGAAAACATGAATGTAGAATAGTGTAAGTGTATAGTTTAAGTATATGTGTATTTGTATGTATATGTATGTATAATGTGTATTTCTATGTATGAAATGTGGATTCTATGTAATGTGTATGTTGCAATGCTATAGTTGAAAAAGAACATATAAAGTAGAATGTTATTATTAATAATGGTATTTAAATTATATGTGTATTTGTATGTAATGTGGATTGTATGTGTGTATAATGTGCATTTGTATGAATGAAAACATGACATTATGTATTTATATTTGAATTTGTATGCAATGTGTATTTTTTGTACGACGCTATTATTGAAAATGTTAATATTGAGAATGCTATTATTGTAGGATGCTATTGTTGAAAAAAAAAACAAATAAAGTAGGATGCTATTATTGAGAATGCTATTTTTGTAAAAGAAACAATGTGCGTTGTAAAAAAAACAAATAAAGTACGATGATATTATTGTAGGATGCTATTTTTTGTAAAAAAAAAAACAATGTGGATTGTAAAAAAATAATAATAATAATAAAATATAAAATATAAAAAATAAAAAATAAATAAAGTAAGATGTTATTATTGACAATAAAAACATTAATTAAATCACTACAATAGAAAACAACAACACAATATAATTGTTTAAAATACAATGATATAATTGAAAAAAAAATGTCATAAATAACAAAAAAAAAATACAATGCTACAATAGAAAAAAACAATGTAATATTTAAAGTACAATGTTGTTATAGAAAACTTAAAACAAAATCAAATAACAAAAATATAAAAAATATAAAAAAGTAAGATGATATAAATAACAAAACAAATATTTCAAATTTTATTTGTTTGTGTGTCTTCTTTGTGATCATCATGAGCATAGAAATACTCGTTTGAAATTGATTTAGAAATTAGTTTCAGGTTGTCCCCGTATTGGGACTGCTTTTTAAGTACTTTATCTCATCTAGGATGTGTACATGTATTACATGATTGTTTTTTTAAGACAGATTCGGTTCTCATTTTCTCTTTGCTCTTCGGTTTTTATATACACTTGTGAGCTAAGCGGAAATGTTGCCAAATATTTCTTAAACATGTAATCATGTAATGCACGTTCACATATGAGATAACGTATTCAAAAAGTGGGTTTAGAAGCCTACCCTTATGAATACTCTATCTGTTTCCGAATTGTTGTCCCCGTTTCAGGGGATACTTTTTTAATCATCTACTTTATGAATACTCTATCTGATTTTTTTTCGTAGAGTAAACTCTAAACCCGAAATGATGTTTCAGCAACATCATGTCTATTGATAAAAGTTGGCCTAGTAATCCGCATCGAAACTATCCTGAGTTCTAAGTAGGACTCAACTCTTTTATCAAGAAGTCCAAGTCACACATTGATAGTAATGGTAAAATCAGATGTGCGTGTCAAAAATCTGATAACCGTTACTTCAAGTACCCAAAAATTGTGGAACATCATATATTTATATATGGTTTCAGTAAGTCGTATACAACTTGGATCTATCATGGTGAACCTTTAATTCCTCCAGCCGTCTTGCCAAGTAACGAAATAGCTGATTTAATCGACGATGTGATGTAGGAGTCGAGATAAAATGACACCAACCTCGATAAAGGAACCTTGAATACAAGGGAGAGTAGTGTGGATGATGATTTTTCACAGTTGTTAGAAGAAGTGGAAACTAAATTGTATCCTGGTTGTACTTTTTCTTCCCTTGATTTTTTAGCAAATTTAATGCATATCAAGGTGAAAAACAAATGGATTGATAGTTCATTTGATCAACTCCTTAAGTTCTTGCAATCAGCATTTCCCAAAGGTAACAAGCTTTCCTTTCACATTATCTAGCCAAAAAGAAACTGAAGAAGATTGGTATGGGGTAGGAGTTGATACATGTGTGTAAAAATGATTGTTTTCTCTTTTAGAAAGAACACAAGTCACTGTAGATTTTTCCCGTTTGTCATGAGAGTCGATGCATCGATAAAAACACCAACGGTAAGAAAGTAGCTCATAAGGTGATACGGTACTTTCCTATAACCCCTAGACCACGACGTTTATATTGTTCGAGGCACACTGCCAAAAAAATGATTTTGCATAGTATCGGATGATCAAAAGATGGTGCGATGTGTCATCCCGTTGATGGGGGAAATTGGCAAGATTTTGATTAAAAAAATACCCCGACTTCTCGAGTGAACCCCAAAACGTAGGCCTAGGTCTTTCAGCTGACGATTTTAATCCATTTGGTAACATGTGTAATTGTAACATCCTGTTTCGAGACGTTTCTTATTTCAGGATTGTGGACAATAAGTGCATCAAGTAAATGTCTTGGGCTTCAAGGGAATAGGTCTTAAACCCTATTGGATATTGATAATAATGGTTATGTGATCCAAGCCCTTGGTTTGTGTTTTGGAGTCAAATGGTAAAATGGGAAAAGTGATGTTTCGGATTACATCCATGAATTAACGGAGCTGATATGTATGTTTGGTATGTGGTATGTTGGGGAACTCACTAAACTTTGTGCTTACGGTTTATGTTTAAAATGTTTTAGGTACTTCTTGTTTCAAAAGGAAGGGCCCGGCTTGATCGCATTGCATCCCCTGAGATTTATTCCGTACTGAATGTTTACAAATTACTCTGATGTTTGGAGAATACTTTGACTCTGCTCGTATTTTGGAAAAAATGAATGAATGATTTTGACTTATTTAAAAATGAAATTTTTACTCGGTATTTTTGGGACGTTACAAGTTGGTATCAAAGCCTTGGTTTGAGGTATTTGGGCACACTCTCGGGTGTGTCTGAACTCAAACTGAGGATTTGGTAACCTTTTCGAAAAATAGATAAATTTTGTAAGAAAATTTCTATAAAGAAAAAAAAGGTGTGATGTGTGCAATTAGCCGAGCTCAAGTAAGTTTTCCGACAATACCCATACATGTGATATGCTTATTGTTTTGGTATGAGTATGTGAGAATTTCATGCTAGATTAGGGCTAAGGATCTGATCGGGATTACATTATAGAGTCTAGGATAAATGCTTTTATATGCCTGCTGATTGAGCTTTTGGAACTGCATGCTAGTATGGGTTTCAGATGTTGGATAGAATGACCTATATAGGTGATGCACTAGTTTAGATTACTCTATGCTCAAATGTTTCTTGCTTTGTGCTTTGAGGCACCTCCAATAATATCGACTGACTATTAAGCGAATATGTTAGGTTATATGTTGCATGGATTAGATAATTTTAGAAGGTTAGGTTTAACTCTATTGTCCAGCTCTTGTTTGAGTCCAACCGTTGTAGTATGAGACCTTGCAGCTGAAGAAATATCTAGTGCATGTGGCATGTAATTGTATTTGTGAGGTAGTTAGAAGGTATTAGAGGGAGTCTTTTCTACAGCTGATGGCGGAGAGTGGTGTGAAGGGAATCCTAAGGGAGCCTAGGAAGTGCCTTATAGGAATTGGAGCATTGTATAATGGTCTATATTCATTTGAGAGCAGGTATATGTGATTGGATCGGGCGGTAGTGAACATGATTAGTTACTTAGAGGATCTATAACGATTCTTGAGGAAAGTACGGATAGGTGTGGAAGGTATTATTGGGCCCGTACTACTAAAAGCACAATATACATACTTGAATCGAGGTGGATTTCGGGGATTCTAAGGAGTTGATGGAGGGTAGATTGTATGTTTTGGTACCATGATTCGCTAAGTGTGTTTCCGTCCTTATCGGTTTATTGGGTACGGTTGTTCAGGCTGAGAATGGGTATGATGAATTGTTTGAGCCTTAATGGCCAT